GTGGGATCCGAACCCTCAGCGGGAGCGCTGCCGCGCTTCCCAAGCAGCGCACTGTAGCAGTGCGCCACCGGGCCGGCCCTAGAATGTTCTTTTACCTATCTTTCAGTTATCATTTTAAATTTAGCTTCCTCCAAGAGGACTTTCCTAACCACACCCTCCATCTAAATTGCATGTATTCCCACAATTGTATTTTTTATTTATATCATAATTATGCACTTATTGTCTGTCTCCCTTGTAGGGTATAAGCACCATGAGGGCAGGGACCATGAACATTTTTTTATCTCCCCAACCAAGCACAGTGCATGAAACAGAATTGCTCAATAAACACTTGATGAATGAATGAATTAGGACAATCCCCTAGAAGGTTAAGCTGCATGAGGAAAAGGACTTTTTTCTGTTTTGTTCATCACTTTATCTCCAGTGCATAGAACAGTGTCTCTCGCTTATTAGGTGTCAAGTAAATATTTGTTAAATGAAGGAAGGAAGGAAGGAAAATAGTATCAAGACAGAAATTCCTAACTGGTGACCACTGGCCAAATTCAGCCTGTGGACATTTTTGTCTGGCCCCAGAGTGCCTGAAAAAATGTGAATTTGTCGCCAACATTTAAAAATCAGGAGATTGCACAGACCAAAACAATCTAGATTTCCAGCTCTTCTTGAAAAATTAGGAAATCTGGCAATCCTGCATTCTCATGTGACAGCAATCAACAGGAGCTGAGTCGCAATCATCCTCTAAGGGGATGTACACTCTCCTCACATCCCGGCCCACACTTGGCCCATTCAACTCGTTTATGGGACTCTGTGGCCCCACTGGTATTTGAGTTTCAAAATCTGTCCTAGAATTACAGAACCACAGAAAGTCAGACCTGGATGGACTTAAGAGACCATCATGTCCAATTAGTTTCCATCGTACATAAGGAGAAACTGATGCTCAGAGGGAGTAAGATCATCCAAGACAGAATGAGAGTCAGACTCAGGCTCACCTGCCTTCCTGTGTGTCCAGAGAAAATGGAGGTGAAAAGCTCTTGGAACCCTCAGGTCTGTTGTGCCATCTTCATTACTGTTTAGAATTTTCCGCATATTCCTCTAGCTCTAAGGTTGGTAATGAGTATTTATATTTGCTAAATCCTGCAAATTTGCTAAATTGTGCAAGAGAGGCACAAACTAACTGTGGCTTAAACCAGATAAAAGTTTATTTCACTCCCCTAACAGTACAGGCATGAGCAGTTCAAGCTGGTAAGACCACTGCATAGTGCCAGGTACTGAGGCCCCTTCTGTCTTGTCTTCTGCCATCCCTGGAATGTTTCCCTCACTGGCGAGATAAATTGTAGCTCATCCCCAAGTCTGGATTCTAGCCAATAAGAAGGGGGAACCTGGAAAAGGGGATTCACCCTTCTCTTTTTAAATTTTTTTTTTGTCCTTCTCTTTTGAGGGCCAGACCCAGATGTTGGACCTGT